AAAAAAAAAAAAAAAAAAAAAAGGCATCAAGGAGTAAGATTTGATATCAATTTCTCAATTTGAAGAAACACACAAACACAATTACTATGACGATGAAGGATATATAAAAAAAACGAAAAAATGAAACCTGTTTCTCGTTGTGCTGGGAGACGGCGAAACGAGCAAGTTCCTCGATCTCGAGGCTGTTTTCAGATCCTTGACTCTGGCTAATACCTCCGACCGTTGCCATTCTCTGTGGATAGTGTATGGATCTTCACTACGTTCGCAGAGTGTGGGGAAAATTGGAGAGAAGAAAGGCAGCAAGCAAATATATAGGGCGTGGGGATCTGTGCGCGTTGGTGTGAGGCCCACGAACATTGACAACCGCTGTCCACTCCAGTTTATCCAATGAAAAATCAACATAGATATATAACTTAGCCACAAAGGTTCGAACATCTCCCGAGAATCTTTAATGCATAAATGTTGTTATCACATAAATTTTGACAAATGTAAATTTATTAGATGAATTGTGAATCACGTAAGATATTTGTTAAGTTCACAACTTTAAATTTAAAATATTATCTACAATGCACAGTGTGATCAAACATAATATTGTCAACTTGGCAAAAATAAAAAATTATAAATAAGAAACAAAAAAAAAAATAAATAATTAGATATTTTGAAAATGGTAATAATATTTCTCTCACATCTCTCAATTGGTTGATTAGAATGTGGATGAGTCATATTCTTTTCTACATTGTGGACATTAATTATGTCCACCTCGTCACTACATTTGTGATTACATTGTGCATTATAGTATTAAAAGTGGATACATTGCTATAGTTAATATAAAGTGCAATTTACTACAACTACATTGTACCATTGGAGATGCTCTTACATATAAGGAATTATGATAGGCCTTCTAAGGTCAACACGTGGCAGTCCTTTTTTTTTTTTTTTGCCCTGATTGAACCAAAACGATGCCGTTTTGGTGTTTTAGGGCACCCGCATTGCGCGTTCAATGCCCGTTCAAATTAGATTAAATGCCAACTTGGTATATTTCTTTCATTGTGGCACTTTCATTTAAAGGGGGGCTACTTTAATGTTAAGTGGTTTGAACGCCGTTCATTCCTTTTTTTATTCTTTTTTTTTTTATTTCTTTTTTTTTTTT